AAAAAAAAAAAAAAAAGAAAAAAAGAATATCTCTGGTTTGCAGAATTAACTTCCCTTCACTTTTGACACTGAGGTTTGTACAATTCATCTTGCACTTACTAAAAAAAAGAGGAGTTAGGCTTGGCACCTGTAGCACAGTGGTTATGGCACCAGCCACATACAACCAGGCTGGTGGGTTCGAACCCAGCCTGGGCCAACTAAACAACGACAACTGCAATAAAAAAATAGCTGGGCATTGTGGTAGGTGCCTGTAGTCCCCTCTACTTGGGAGGCTGAGGCAAGAGAATTGCTTAAGCCCAAGAGTTGGAGGTTGCAGTGAGCTGTGATACCATGGCACTCTACTGAGGGCAACATAGTGACACTCTGTCTCAAAGAAAAGAAAAAAGGAGTTAGAATTCTTCTTCAAATGGAAACATATTTTTTATTAATACTTCTTTTTTGAGAGTGCTGTGGCATCATCCAAATTCACTGCAGCCTTCAACTCCTCGACTAAAGCAATCCTTCCTCCTAGGCCTCCCGAGTGCTAGGTATTACAGGTGTGCACTGCCAGACCTGGCCCAAATACTTATCTTTTAATTACCTATTCTGTCTCTAAAAAAATTCACTTAATCTGTACATATCAATTCTATTTATTTATTTATTTACTTGTTTGTTTATTTTTGAGACAGAGTCTCAAGCTGTTGCCCTGGATAGAGTGCCGTGGTGTCACAGCTCACAGCAACCTCCAATTCTTGGGCTCAAGCGACCCTCTGGTCTCAGTTTTTCTATTTTTAGTAGAGATGACTTTTTGCTCAGGGTGGTATCGAACTTGTGAGCTCAAGCAATCCACCTGCCTCAGCCTCCCAGAGTGCTAGGATTACAGGCGTGAGCCACCATGCCCAGCCAATTCTCTTTCTTAAAAAAAGTAGAGATACTTATCACCTTACAACCCCAATTTAAAGCAGAATAGGAAGAAAAGTTGCAAAACACCCAAGCAGAGGCTGCCTGAAGCACAAGGAGACCCTACATGGGCACCTGCTAGGGGACAATGACTCTGTCCACTCAGCTAGAGGGCTTCAAATCCGAGACTCAGGGAATGGAAGAGTAGAAACCTGGGGGACCTACCTTTTTTATAATACCTGGAGATAAACAGCTATACAACATGTCATGTGACTGGGAGGAAAACTTGCACAGAAAATAAGAAATTGCTGCTGTACAAAACCTAAAAATAGAAAATATAACGCACAAACGTGATCCAACAGAATGAAAAGCATGAAATAGAAGCATAATTTTCTTTTCTTCCTTTTTTTTTAAATTAAATCATAGCTGTGTACATTAATGCAATCATGGGGTATAATGTGCTGGTTTTATATACCATTTGAAATATTTTCGTCAAACTGGTTAACATAGCCTTTACCGCATTTTCTGAGTTACTGTGTTTAAGACATTTATATTCTACACTTAGTAAATTTAACATGTACCCTTGTAAAATGCACTGTAGGTGTGATCCCACAAATTACCCTCCCCTGCCTCCTTCTTCTTGGGCTATAGTTGGGTTATAGCTTTCATAGAGAAGCATAATTTTCACAAAATCAAGTTTCATGCATTCCAAAACAGACAGCCCGAGCATCAGTTCTGGGTTCAGAAAAACCTTCCCATAGCCTCACCCACAATAGCAGAGTCTCTCTTAGCTGAAGCCATGGCTGTCCTGCTAAGGACAGAGCTGAGAGGCAGCAGATGAGCGTGTGGGGACCACACACAAATAAGGCTATGCCTGTGGAGCAAAGAGTGAGCAGAGAGGCACAGATACCTGGGAGCTGGGTCTACAGGGCCACAGAGAAAGCTCACACCATGTCTGAGCACATGACCACATGTTGGTACAGAAACATGACTTCAAGGGCAGCCTCAGCCACGCCAGCAGCTCGGCTCTCAGCCAGGCTGCACACATCCTCAGGGGCCCCCAGGTCTGCAGGCAGCCCCTTCCCCTACCAATGTGCTGCCAGGGACAGACGGACACACACGACCCAGCATCAAAGGGCAAAACAAGATAATACACTCAGGAAGAAATAAAAATGGCAACACCAATGCCAAAAATCCAACCGGGACAATCTGTACCAACATGTGGTCATATGCTCATTAGTAACTGAGGAGCATTAAATGAGATTCCACAGGCTAAATGGCCACCGTAGGGCCAGTCACTGCTATGAAAGTCTTAGGGGCCTGTGGGGAGGTCACCAATGCAGGTGAATATGCTGCCTTCTCCATCCTCCTCCGTGAGACACACAATGAGATCATAGCTCACATGCATCTTTCTCTAAATGAGCATTCGTCCAAAGGCACCACTATCCCTCAGGGCAGATGGCCTCTGCCCTCCTTCCTCCCTCTCTCCCCTACGTTCTGTAATGCCTCCACTGCTCCCACCTCTGTGCTTGACTGTCTTATGTCCCCACTGCAGATAGCCAGAGGCCCAGCACTGCTATGGGCTCTGGTGAGTGAGATGCCTGGGACTGACCACATGGACTTTTCACCAGGTAACCAGAACCGACCAGATGGAATCCTCACTGGATATCCAGGACTGACCAGACAGACTCCTCATGGAGCACCTAGGACTGACCATATGGACTCCTCACAGGGTACACAGGAATAACCAGATGGAATCCTCAAAGGATGTTGCTTTTGCCAAGTGCCCAGGAAGAGCCCGGACCACCCTGCAGCCCAGCAAAGCCAAGCACCTGCTGCCTGAGGTCCATACCTGGAGGCCAGGTGACCTGCTGGACTGTCACCTGCTCCTTGCACACTTACACCTTTTCTTTCATAGCCCCTCATCGCGCCTCCATCAAGAACCTGTCCAAAACCACCTACCCCCTTGACCCCAAATGCCCTCTTGGAAATTGCAATGGTGCTGATGAGCTCCCTTCCTCCCTATTAGCTCAGGGCCCTGACTGCAGAGGATCCTGTGGCCTCTCCCAGCACCAGCTGGGTGTGCCCTTGAGGTGCCCTGCAGGGAAGGGGAGCTTAAGGGCAGGAGCAGGGTTCATATGGCATACTCAAAGGACCCACGTGGACTCCGTCAACTGGGAGGGGGTTTCAATGCCCTTGGAGCCAGCACAGAGAAACGGCCAGCTGTGCATACAACATGAGGTGGCTGACAGCAGGGAGACCCAGAAACCCGCTGCAGGGACCTGGCTCAGCCAACTGCAGACAACCAAGACTAAACAAAGCAGCTCCCACCAGGACATGTAAATGTAGAAAGACTAGGATTACCATCAAGTATTAATTTTAGCAGTATTCTTAAATGTCAGCAGTTTAGTAAAACAGTATGATCCTATTTTTATAAACAAAGAAACATGCACATAATACACATAAAATAAAGTCCTAAAAGATCCCATGACAATATGCTACCAAGTGACCAGCTTTGGGCAGTATGGTTTCCTACACACCTATCTTTCTAATTTTATCTAAAGACCAAGTATTACTTTTCTTTTGAAGTAGGGTGGGAAGGCAGAGTCTTACTGTCACCCTGAATAGAGTGCCGTGGCGTCATAGCTCATAGCAACTCGTTTTTCTTTCTTCTTTTTTTTGAGATAGAGTCTCACTATGTTGCCCTTGGTACAGTGCTGTGATGTCACAGCTCACAGTAACCTCAAACTCTTGGGCTTAAGCTATTCTCTTGCCTCAGCCTTCCAAGTAGCTGGGACTACAGGTCCCTGCCACAATGCCTGGCTATTTTTTGGTTGTAGTTGTAACTGTTGTTTGGCAGGCCTGGCCTGGGCTCAAACCCACCATCTTTGGTTTATGTAGCTGGTGCCATAGCTGCTGAGCTACAGGCACTGAGCCACCAACTCATTTTTCTATTTTCTTTTCTTTTTTTTGAGACAGAGTCTGACCACGTCGCCCTTGGTAGAATGTCGTGGTATCGCAGCTCACAGCAACCTCCTACTCCTGGGCTTAAGCGATTCTCTTGCCTCAGCCTCCCAACTAGCTGGGACTACAGATGCCCACCACAATGCCTGGCTATTTTTTTGTTGCAGTGGTTTAGCTGACCTGGGCCAGGTTCAAACCTGCCACCTTCGGTGTATGTGGCTGGCACTGTAACCACCGTGCTACAGGCGCCAAGCTTTATTTTACTATTTTTAGTAGAGATAGGGTTTCATTGTTGCTCAGGCTGGTCTCTACCTCGTGAGTTCAAGGGATCCACCCACCTTGACCTCCCAGAGTGCTGGGAGGACAGGTATGATACTTTCCCTGAAGGCTGAGCAAGGAAATGACAGGAGAACAGAGGCTTACTTCAGGCAGAGGAGTGAGGACTCCCGAGTGCAGCAGGTCAGGAGGCTGTTGACAAAGTCGGGGATGGGAAGGGCCCCGGCTGGAGGACCCACATCCACCTCTGGGAGCACAGACCTGGACTCACCCAGGTGGACAGCCAGGGCAGCTAAGCCCAGCACATGTGAGGCACTAAGGCTGGGGCCCTGGAAATGAAAACAAGGAAGGGCAGGTGGCAAAGCTGGGGGCCTCTGAAGACAATGGGGAGGTGGGGCCCACTCGGAGGCGGAGCCTACCTGGAGGCGGAGCAGCTGGCAGAGACGGCCAAGCACTGCTGGCAACAGCGAGCATCCACACATGGTCCTCACAAACAGGGTGGCCCAGGGGCCCTGCCTGCAGGGACAGCCCCAGGAATCATCAGCAGTGGCCACTCAGCCCTGCACATGCCCCTGATGGGCAGTCCAGGCACGGGAGTCTTAAAAGAGAACCCAGTCCCTCCCTGAGACAACCAGCTTCCGTGGAAATGAGTTACTTGTCCCGTGTCCCTGCCTGCCTGGCCCCAGAGACTCAGTGCAACAGCAAGAGGCACCCAGAACAGCTCAAAGGCATTCAGTGGACGAGCAGGCCTTTACCTCTCTGGGGGCACAAAGCTGGAGGCTGTCATCAGGTTCTGACAGAAGGACGTCAGCAGAAGGTCCACAACCTAGAGACACAGTCCCAAGAAGGGGAGATGTCTCGTGTTGCTCACACAGACATCAAAATTCTGCTTTGCAAATGGAACCTCAAAACAGGCTTGCGTGTGGAGAGCAAATAATGCAACTAGGTACCAAAGACCCCTCCCAAATCCCAGGAACAGAACAGGCCAAGCCTCAACGCGAATCTCCAATCACAAAACTTTATACTATTATGCGTGATTGGCAAATGTCGTCTGTAAAGAGATAAAAAATCATATTCTGAAATTTAATTATTTAATTAATTAATTAACTTTTTTTTTTGGAGACGAGTCTTACTATGTTGCCCTGGGTAGAATATTGTGGCGTCACAGCTCACAGCAACCTCAAATTCTTGGGCTTAAGCGATTCTCTCTCTCTTTTTTTTTTTTTTGAGACAGAGCCTCAAGCTGTCCCCCTGGGTAGAGTGCCGTGGCATTACAGCTCACAGCAACCTCCAACTCCTGGGCTCAAGCGAGTCTCCTGCCTCCGCCTCCCAAGTAGCTGGGACCACAGGCGCCCACCACAACGCCCAGCTACTTTTTGGTTGCAGCCATCATTGTTGTTTGGCGGGTCCGGGCTGGATTCGACCCGCCACCTTAGGTGTACGTGGCTGGCGCCTTAGCCGGTTGAGATATAGGCGACGAGCCTTAAGCGATTCTCTTGTTTCAGCCTCCTAAGCAGCTGGGACTAAAGGCTCCCGCCACAATGTCCAACTATTTTTTGGTTGTAGTTGTCATTGTTGTTTGGCAAGCCTGCGTTGGGTTTGAACCTGCCAGCTCCAGTGTATGTGGCTGGTGCCCTACCTGCTGAGCTACAGGCACCAAGCCCATATTCTGAAATTTAAAAAAAAAAAAATTAAAATAACGTCAATAAAAAGAGCCCAAAGGCCAGGCACAGTGGCTCCAGCCTCTAATCCCAGAACTATAGGAGGCTGAGGTGGGAGGATTACTTGAGCCCACGAGTTTGAGACCAGCCTGAGCCAGAGCCAAGACCCTGTCACTTAAAATAGAAAAACTAGCTAAGCATTGTGGGTGACAAAGTGAGATTCTGTTTAAAAAAGAGCCCAAGGGCTCAGCGCCTGTGGCTCAAGTGGCTAAGGCGCCAGCCACATACACCTAAGGTAGCGGGTTCAAATCCAGCCCAGCCCGCCAAACAACAATGACGGCTGCAACCAAAAAACAGCGGGGCATTGTGGTGGGTGCCTGTGGTCCCAGCTACCTGGCAGAGGCAGGAGACTCACTTGAGCCCAGGAGTTAGAGGGGTTGCTGTGAGCTGTGATGCCATGGCAGTCTGCCCAGGGGGACAGCTTGAGGCTCTGTCTCAAAAAGAAAAAAAAAAAAAGAGCCGAAGGCTCAGCCCCTATGGCTCAAGTGGCTAGGGTGCCAGCCACATACACCTAAGGTGGCGGGTTCGAATCCAGCCCAGGCCTACCAAAAAACAATGATGGCTGCAACCAAAAAAAATAGCCAGGCATTGTGGCCATGGCTGCAACCAAAAAAAATAGCCAGGCATTGTGGCCGGCACCTGTGGTCCCTCCCAGCTACTTGGGAGGTGGAGGCAGGAGACTTGCTTGAGCCCAGGAGTTGGAGGTTGCTGTGAGCTGTGATGCCACCAGCACTCTACCCAGGGGGATAGCTCGAGGCTCTGTCTCAAAAAAATAAATAAATAAAATAAAATAAAAAAGAGCCCAAAATACAAATTTAGGCTTTGGGGTTGCAAATGGCCTTTCTCACATATTCTTTGACAAAAATGTAAAAAGAATTCTCCACAAACGGGAAGGGAGAGGTGGAACCACCAGCAGCCCTGCTGCCCACTGCCCAGGCCTTGCAGGTCTGACTTCACACAGGCACAGTGACCTAGCAAAACAAACAACAATTAAGAGGACTACAGGATTCTATCCTTTTTGCACAATTTGAGAGCAGCTGAGACCTCCAAACCGTATTTTACAGCACTTGGCACCCACCTGCTGTTCTGCCTGCTCAAGTTTTGGAGCTGTGATGCTGAGCCGGACCCTTGACACCTCAGAACTGCTGCCGTCCTCTCTGTGCCGCAGGGCGGCATGAACACTCTCAGAGATCACTGCCACCTGGGCATGTACAACTGCAAGACAGAGAGATGAGAGATGCACAGGACTGACATCTGGAGGGACAGACTGGCCGCAGGCCTGGCCTCTGTTTGGGGAGGCCATGCTCCACCAGCCCTGTGTGCTGCTCTCCTCAGGCCAACAGTGGACAAAACACTAGAGGCAGTAAGCCATGCCCAGGGCAGGATGGGGCTGGCATCACTGCCTGTCTGTGATCAGCTCAGGACCCACCGATCCTTCACCAACACAAACCCCCTTTTTCATCTTCAACATTAGAAGCCCCAGGCCACTCTCCAGGCCTGAACACCTGTCTGAGAACCAGCACTGATGGGTTTAACAGTGCTGCCTTCTTTCAGACACAGTGGGGATGGGTCCTCTTTGGGCCGTCACAAACTCTTGGCAGAAGGTGAATGTTCTGCTGTTTGGCATCTGAGGCAGGTGATAGAGAAAGAAAACAGCAGGATGTGTAGTTTTCTTGTCCTCTGTGCCTCAGTAGACAAGTAGAGCCAGAGGCTCCAGGTCTCCCAGACACCCAGAGACCACAGCAAGCCACTTTCACATGAAATCCTCTGTCACTCTGAGAAGCAGGCAGCTCTGACGTTTGTCAGTCTTGTGATTAAGGACTGCACCTTTTTGGCAGCGTCCCCAAACACCACATTCTGCACAAGCACAGTTGTGAAAGGCTGAACTTGGCCGGAGCAAGGGTTGTGTCTGAGGCGACCCCCTACCAGGCGGTGCACCAAGGAAACTTTGCTAATATTTCCTCCATAAGGCTCTCTGCCTTGGTTTGGACAAAATAAATTCATGATAGGTATAAACCTATCACAGCTACTCAGTCAAAACATAGCTCATTTCAGATTCTGCATGTATTGTATTGGAAGTCTGAAAGTGCGCACGGTACAAGACAGCAAGTTTAGAACTGCCCTGGGCTCCGAAGCACATGAATGATCTCCCAAGGAGCAGGACTCAGGGTAAGGCGCAGTGTGTGACATGACATCTACTGAGGAACAGAGGACAAGAAAACTACACATCCTCCTGTCTTCTTTCTCTATCACCTGCCTCACTCAGATGCCAAACAGCAGAACATTCACCTTCTGCCAAGAGTTTGTGACAACACAAAGAGGACCCATCCCCACTGTGTCTGAAAGGCAGCATCATCAAAACCATCAGCACTGGTCAATTTAAGAACCACATGCAGGCTGGGCAAGGCGGCTCATGCTTGTAATCCCAGCACTCGAGAGGCCGAGATTGGTGGATTAGTTGAGCTAACAGGTTCGAGACCAGCCTAAGTCAGTGAGACCTTGTCTCTAAAAATAGCCAAGTGTTGTGATAGGTACCTGTAGTCCCAGCTACTTGGGAGGCTGAGACAAAGAATCACTTGAACCTAAGAGTTTGAGGTTGCTGTGAGCTGTCACACCACAACACTCTACCAAGGGCAACAAAGTGAGACTCTTGTCTCAAAAAAGTAAATAAATAAAAGAACCACATGCAGGACCATCACCCCAACCACAGGCTGCACACCCTGAAAAACAACACGAGCACCAGTGTCCTCACCATCATATCGGGTGGGGTCTGTCATGGAGGTTCTGAGCTCTCCCAGCGCAGCTGTGAGCTGTCCCAGGGCCTCCTCAGCACAGGTGGGCTCTGCCCTCATTCCTGGGGATACATCTGAAGGGGGTGAGATTTTAATAGTCAGGCCAACGCTGAGCACAGTGGCTCATGCCTGTAATCCCAGCACTCTAGGAGGTTGAAGAGGGTGCATTCCTTGAGCTCAGGAGTTTGAGACCAGCCTGAGCAGAGCAAGACTCTTGTCTCTATTAAAAATAGAAAAACTAGCCAGGCATTGTGGTGGTCACCTGTAGTCCCAACTTCTCGGGAGGATGAGGTAAGAATTCTTGAGCTCAAGAGTTTGAGGTTGCTGTGAGCTATGACACCATGGCACTCTACCCATGTGACAGAGTGAAACTCTGTCTTAAAAAAAAAAAAAAAGAAGCCAGCCCAGATAAAAGCTTATGTACAAGGTCAAACAGTCAAGTTCTCCTAGAAAAAGTGCTATACACCTCATTGCTGAATGTCCCTGTGGTCACCTTTGAGGTACTCCCCTTGGGAAGCTACACATACACACTGACACCAGCGCCTAGTCCAACCCAAAGCAATTTTGGAACTCTGTTTTCTGGAATGGCCATCGGAGCTTACATTGTATGACGCCTGACAATTAAGGTCGCAAACTCATTATAGAAAAATTGCTTTGAAGGATAGACTCAGCACTCGAAGGAGATTCAGCAGTGAGGTCTGCAGCACTTCTAGGATGAGCTCATGAACTAAGTTGTCTCATAAGACCCAGAGTCTCAGTGCAAAAGTATTGTAGGTTCCAATCAAAAATCACTTGTGATAGCGAGAATGAAAAAGACTCCCAACTGAACAAGAAAGACAACCTACAGCAGCCAACTGAACAATATCAGAGACACTGAGATCATCTGGCAAATAGTAGAAGCAGCCTTGACAAAAATGCTTCATTGAAAACACCCAAACACACCCAAAGGAGACAGAGGGTGTAAAGAACCAAGTGGAACCTGCAGAAGTTAAAATGTAGCAACTGAAGTAAAGGCCCTGGGTGTGAGCTCGACAACAGGATGGGGAGAGTGGGAAGAACAGTGAGCTGAGTAACACAGGGCCAACCCTGTGACCCACTGTAGTGACAGGCTAAAGAAGAAAAATCCCATCATCACATCAACAGAAAAGCATCTGACATCACTCAACAACCATCCATGATAAAAACTTTCAGAAAAATAGGAATAAAGGAGAAGTTGATAAAACCATCTACAAAACCCTGCCACTTACAGCACACTGCTATGAGCTATGATAATGCCATGGCACTCTACTCAGGACAAAAAAAAAAAAAGATAAACCTATACAACTCAGAAAAAAATACAGGAGAAAATCATTAGGATGTAGGGCTAAACAAAGAGGTCTTAGACTTGACATGAGAAGAAAAAAATGACACACTGGACCTCATAAAATTAAAAACACTGAGGCCTGGTACAGGGACTCATGCCCATAATTCCAGCTCTCTGGGAGGCTGAGGCAGGAGGATGGCTTGAGGCCAGGAGTTTGAGACCAGCCTGGGCAACATAATGAGATCTTGTCTCTAACAAAACATAGAAAAATAATCAGCTGGTGGTACTTGAGAGGCTGAGGCAGGAGGATGGCTTCAACCCAGGAGTTCCAGGCTGTAGTGAGCTGTGATTGCACCACTGCCTGGATGGCAAAGTGAGATCTTGTTTCACAACAAAAGTGAAAAATCCTCTGACTCTATTAAGAGAAGAAAAAGATAAGTTACAGCTTAGGAGAAAATATTTGCAAACCACAAGTCTAACAAAGAACTAGTCTCAGGACATATGCAGTGAAGGCCAGAGTGCGATGTGGGCAGAGCAAACAGTTCAGTCAGAACATGGACAAAGGGCATGAGGAGACATTCCAAGAAAGAGGAGTAACAGATGCAAATAAGATGTGAAAAGATGTTCGACATTACTGGCCACTAGAGAAATGCAAATTAAAACCACAAGAAGCTGTTACTAGATCTGTGAGAATGGCTAAAATAAAAAACAGCAACACCAGGCTGGGCACAGTGGCTCACACTTATGATCCCAGCACTGTGGGAGGCCGAGGTGGGAGGATCCCCAGCTTAGGAGTTTGAGAACAACTTGAGCAAGAAAAAGACCCCCATCTTTACTAAAAATAAAAAAACTAGCCAGGCATTGTGGTGAGCACTTGTAGTACCAGCTACTTGGGAGACTGAAACAAGAACTCTTTTTTTTTTTGG